GCACCTAACCTTGAAGCACCTTGAAAGTCCTGTTGCATATGCTAGACTGCTTTTTGTTGATTTTAGTTCTGCTTTTAATTCAATCCAGCCAGACATCCTTCTTAGGAAATTAATTCAGCTAAAAGTAAATCCTTTTTTAATCAGATGGTATCATTCCTTTTTGTCGAACAGGCCACAGCAGGTGAAGTTTAACTCTTCTCTGTCTGATCTAGCGGTGTGCAGCACTGGCGCCCCCCAAGGGTGTGTTAGCTCACCTCTCCTGTTTACATTGTATACTAATGACTGTGTCAGCTATGAGCCAAACCAATATATAGTCAAATTCTCTGATGATACTGTCCTTCTTAGTTTGCTCAATAAAGAAAGCAACATGAATATCCACCAAGTTGCAGTGGACAAGTTTGTCAACTGGTGTGATTCACATCAACTTCAGATTAACACACAAAAAACTGTGGAAATGTTGGTGGACCCCAAAACAGTTGGAGATCAGAGCCCTGTGGTCATTCATGGTCATGATATCAGGCAGGTGACATCTTTTAATTACTTAGGGGTGTCTATTGATAATGACTTGAGTTGGCGCACACATGTTATAAATGTTTGTGCCAGAACTCATCAGCGCCTCTATTTTTTACGTAGACTTAGAGTGTTTGGGGTCTGTAAAAATATTATGTTAATCTTTTATAGAGCAACAATAGAGTCCATTCTTCGATATGGTATCACCAGTTGGTTTGGAAATTTGACAGTCAAATCAAAAACTCAGATTTCTAATTTGGTCAAGACGGCAGGCAAAATTATGGGTACATCGCCACCCCTCAACCCACAGGAGCTTTTTGACCAGACAACAATTAGGCAGGCTAAAAACATTATATCTGATAATACTCATGCGTTGTTTACAGAGTTTGAGTTACTGAACTCAGGAAAGAGGTACAGGGTTCCTCTGTGCAAACATAATAGGTATAAGCGCTCATTTGTTCCTCTCTCAATTAAGCTTATAAATGATCAGCGATGAACATGTGACTATGAATTTATTAATATATTTTTATATCCGTGATTAATTTATGTATGATCATGTTAGGATATTAATTTTGTATAAGTAGTTTTTAGAAAAAGGTGATTTGCAATTTGCATAGCTCTTCGGGTAGCTTGAATATCCTATGTACTTGTTTGTTTTTTAATTTGATTTTAATTCTGTATAGCCGGATACTGTATATCTGTGATTGAATGTTATGCATGGACATGATATGATATCACTTTTGCATGAGCAGAATTTAGGAATTTGGTGATTTGCTATTTTGCACAGTTCTCTGAGTAGCTTTAATGTTGTATGTCTTTTTTTTGTTTTCAACTGTTTTAACCCTATACCTGTGCTTTGTCTTTGTTGAAATCTTCATGTAGCAATCTCTCTATCCAAAACTAATTTCTCCTTGGGGAGACAAATAAAGATACTTTGACTTTGACTTTGACTTAATGTTGGGGGCCCAATAGTGCTGCAGGCCTTTTATCCTCCACCTTTTAATACCCCAGATCAGGAACAACTGAACCTGTTATGTCCAGTTTGGGCATTAGATGCCTACGTTCACAGGGCTGCCCTGTGGCGTAAGTCTAAACAATTGTTAGTCTGCTTTGGGTCACTCAAGAGAGGATGCCCTGCATCTAAACAGGTAATGAGCAAATGGCTTATGAAGCGGCCGGTCAGCCTTCACCTATGGCTGTACGGGCCCATTCTACAAGGAGTATGGCGGCCTCTACGGCCTTAATTTCGGGTGTTTCCCTTCTTGATATCTGTAATGCGGCAGGTTGGTCCTCTCCACATACATTTGTCAGGTTTTATGACCTTGACCTCTCCACTCCAGGGGCGAGGTTGCTTGCTTCTTAGTGTGTGCAAGGACTTCACACAGAACGGGCATTTGTCACTATGGCGTAGTGGGTATGGGGTTCCCACCGCGTCTCAAACGCAGCTCGAAGTTCCCTTGAAAGGGAACGTCTCAGGTTACGTATGTAACCCTTTTTCCCTGAGAGGGAACGAGACGCTGCGTTTGCCTGCCATACTTCCTGCATGCCCTGATCGACTTGCTTCAGGTTTTTTCAGAAGCTGGCGCGGTCTGAATTCAGGGGTGCTTTACAGTTTCCTGATCTATGACGTCACCTGCCTATGACGTTTCGGGCTTCCATTGGATTGATTTTACATGTGCATCACGACGTAATCACGCAGAGCGTTCCCACCACGTCTCAAACGCAGCATCTCGTTCCCTCTCAGGGAACCAGGGTTACATACGTAACCTGAGACGTTTTTGCACAAAATTAATATAGGGAGTGATGTGTTAAGGCCTCATTATGCTTCTGCGTCAACTCCACGGCGTAGCTACGCCGTCACTCCTACGGCGTCGTGGCCGTTTTATGGTTCTGCGTCAGGTTGCGTTGCATCGCGGTGTATTTCACCGCCAGAACGCTAGGGGGGTGTGTGCTTCGCGAATCTTTTTGCTAGTTTGTTTTGGTTCCGTGCGTCGGTTCCGCTTTCGTTTCCATTACCCTTCAAATTGCGCAAATTGAAATTGCGTATTGAAAATACGCACAATGGAACCACGTCCATTTCGCATAAACTCCCGTTTATCGCAAAAAAAGACTTTATGCTCGCAAAATATTTAGCAAAACTGCAATGGAAGGTTTTGCGCATTTACAGTCACCTGACTTAGAAGACGCGGTGTGTTTGGGGTCCGTGTCCGCAAATAACAATAATAATTATCATCATTATTATAACATTTATTAGGCTACATATGTAGAAGACGCTTTTATCCAAAAAAGGAACAAAGCAATTCGTCACATCTCATTCAAAATACAGGTTGGGCAATAATAATACGGGGCTAAGATTATCACAAATAAACACAAGATTTTGACGCATATTCAAGTGTTTAAGCGGAGCGCGCACTGGATGGCAGGGATAGGCGCGCTGGCGCGAACACTTGCATTTTCCTATCAACAGTGGAAACAACTTAAAATACTCTATCATTTCTGGTCATACAGAAAATAATAATACATTATTCGCAACTACTTTTATTTGCGTAAACTCACAATAACAAGAAAACGTTGTGGTTTTGTAAAATAAAATAAAACAATCAGGCGCGCTTTCATGGTCTCCGTGAACTGAAGCGCGATAACTAAAACAAAATATAGCCTATGTAGGCTAAAGCTTGAAATGTCCACTTTAAAACGAACAAATTCGAATCGAAAGCTAATACCTTCTGATTATGTTATCGGTATGAAAGGTGCATTTCTCTCTAAAGGTGCATCCGGAGATGGAGATATGTTTTTAGCCGACATTGATTTAGAAAACAATAGTTTATTAATAAACAATTAAAATGCCTCGTTATTTTTTCAGACACATTTATTATAGCCTATAACTCACCTATAAATCACCTTTCTGTAGGCTGTGGTTATGGTCTTCTCATTCAGCACTGCGGGAAAAATATAATTTCCAGGTTCTAATTTGGCCTTAGAAAACCAGTAAAATCTAAATTTTTCCATATTAATTTGTGAATATTTTAAATGTTTAATAAAGGGGCAAAAAATCATAAACAAATATCTTAAAATTCGTCGATATATATATTTTTTGTTGCGCAGCATTTGGTGTACCGTTCAAATTAAAATTTTTGTGTTCAACTTTGCGTTTTAAAAATAATTCAGTTCATTTTTCGTTTTGCAATTACGGGTTAAATAAGGGAAAACGAATGGACACAAAAGTACACTGACCGTTTGGAATTAATACGAGACAGAGTTCTTTATTAAATTCATAAAATAAACAATAATTACAGGAATAGCCTATGGACTCTAAACCTCAAAGAAATGCCACAATCAAGACCTCGGAGCAGAAATGAGGGAGAACTCTCCCTGCGTGTCTTTCCCTGCCATCAATGCTTGGATTACACACCACGTCTCCTTCCATTAATAATAATAATGTATAGTGCGGTGGCTATAGGCTATAACGTTAAACCTACCAACGTCCGGTACCATGATTTTTATAATGGCTTTTTTTTTAGTCGCATAACATCGGTTAATGGAAACGCCGTCATTTCGCAATAGTTTTTTATCGACAAATAGAAAAAAATCGCAAAAGTTTTGCGCAAATCTGTAATGGAAACGCGCCTGATGGCGAGCGAAAGAGAGAGATTGTTGTTGCAGCTGGAGCTAATCGACGTTGAACAACAAATGATTTTATTGCAAATATTTAATCGCAGAAGAATCAAACGTTCCTCAACTTGATATCGTTAAAACAAACAGTGCAGTGGTCACTTTAAAAATGGCGGTATAGCGGGAAGGGGAAACCGGTAAAGCTTCACTCCCGAAATGATGTATCTGACCAATCACAGCCCTTGTGGTCTGCGTCGCCTCGACGCGTAGTTACAATTTTTTGGAGGTGCACGTCGAGCTACGGCAGAGGGGTCGGAGAGGGGTTCGCGGCGACGCAGAGAGGTCTGCGGGGGTACGCCGTCGATTCGACGCAGAAGCATAAAACAGGCTTTAGTGTTTAATCTTCTGTTATGTTGAGATTTACATGGGTTTCTGTTGTTGCAGTTTTGAAGGTTACCATTGTGGTGAACAGTAGAGCCTGTGGTTAGCTTATGATGGACTGAAAAATTTGAACAATATGTATGATATATGGCATGTTGTTTATGTGCAAATATGTATGAGGGATGAGTGTTTGATCAGTAAATAATAGTGCATTCATACAGATTGCAATTCACACTAGGGATAATAGTCTAAGAGAAATAACTGCCGATTTTACATGGGCCACAAAAGGATTGAAACATGCCTGCACATTTGTTCTGCACACTGCTAACTGAATAGGCCTGCTCTACATCACTGCTCCTCATACTTACATATGTATATAAATAATTATTTAATTTCCCACCTCTAATTCTAAAGCATAAAATAGCCATCATGTGTTTGAATCAAAATAATTGATTGTGCAAAATTAAATTTGCTGTGCAATTTTGTTCATCTTCCAGCTGGATAGCTATGAAGTCCACATGAAGTTTGAGATCATCTCATATGCCAGTGAGCCCAAAGAAATAGTGTCCATTACAAGCATCGAGAGTCAAGATGTGAATTATATCTTGAGGAAATTAGAGGAGTTTAGTGCCGAAAGTAAGTTCACTGTACAAATGTTTGTTTTTACATTTTTAAGCCATGTGTTTTACTACATCTTTATTATAGCTTTCTAACTCCAGTTTCCAGTTTTATGTAATTCATTTAAATTTCATTTCAGGCCATGGAAGTAAGAAAGGCACCAATCTGTATAAAGCCCTAGAAAGGGTGTACAGTCAGCTTGGTTTCCTCAGGGAGACCAAAAGAAATCAGTTCAATGAGACTCAGAACGTCGTAATCATTACGACTGATGGTAAGACTGACCAATATGAGAAGAGAAAGGCTAAAGGGTGGCTTTACTTTTGTGTCTGACCCACACACACACACACACACACACACACACATTTCTGTAGATGTGGCAGTCTATGGCAGTGCTTCATTAGTAAGACATAGCAGAGCAGTGTTGGGGGTCTACAAGGACCAGGGCTCATACTTTAGTCGGCTACTGTGCCATCAAGGATGCCTCATTTAAGAAAAATAACTTTTTCATTTAAATGTAAGAAAGAAAGTAAAGAAATGTATGCCTCACAAGGAATAACAATCAGTTTCATAATGGTAATTTTTCTGAAATGAGACATCCTCAATGATGTATGTGGCTGACAAATGTGACCTCCAGAGGGCGCAGCCTTTAAAATGAGACACAGCTGTAGGATATGTTGTAACCGCCATATGCAGAGCCTACAGCATCTGATGCAGAAGTGTATATCTGCCAGTCATTTTTAGCGGAATCTAGTGGTGAGGTTGCGAATTGCACCCAACGGAAGTCATGGTGGCCGACAGGAAATGATGTCGTCGTCTGAGACGGCAGAAAGGAGCCAGTTAAACAATGATGTTTCTTTACAGAGATACTTTAAGAAATTAGGTTTTCTTAATTATTCAGTAAAACAATTGCGAATATTATTGTTATTTGTGCATAGGGTTGCCACCTTCAATACAAAAAAATAAGGGACGCCTGCCGGCGGCCGCAGCGGGGGCCAAAGCCCTCAGGGCCACAATGACCACAGGCCCGACGGTATGCCAATGGTATCATAACTCAAAACATATTTTTCAGGAAAGTAATAAGATCATACCAATGGACATTATAATAAGCTATCTGCTATTGAAATCATTGTGAATAAATCACTCTCTATCACAAACAACGTTAACAAAGTGTGACAATGAGATTACAAAAAAAATGGCCTTTCGTCGGAGTTGTATGTGAGATGTTAACTTATTAACTTATTAAATTAACAGATCCATAAATTATTCACTATAAATTAAACAAATGTGTTGATACTCAAACAAATACTAAATTTGATTGGAAAAAACTATGACTTTAGCAAAGGATCTTGAACATCAAAAACATCAGTAGACCAGTAGTACTGTGCAGTATTGGACTATAGGCGTTAAGTGTACTTGTCACTCCATGCAGCACCGAGTAGCTGTTTCTTTCAAACATGTAACACCATCCAAACAGTGATACCACACATAAATAACCTATAATCTACAAACATTTCTAAATTTAATTATAACACTATTTTTATTATTGGTAAGAAAATCTATTTATGTATTTATTTATTTATGTATTCAGACCTATTGACCTATTCTCTAGATTTGTTAAGCATAAGTCATTTTCTTCACACATGCACATTTTTATTATTAAATATGTAGGCCTATTAAATATCTCTCTCTCTTATTTAAAAAATGCATGTGTCTGACTACCTTAACTATAATAAACAAATCATACCATAATGTATGGATATAATTCATTTACATTGAAACATTATTTCTTAGCAAATGGGCATAGGGTATGAAGCATATGAAAACGTAATCAATCAGAACATTATTGAGCTGATTAAAAAACTGTCATTACACTATGACTATCTGCTTCGGGAGATCCTTAACGTATGAAGAACTGTGAGACGGTGCTTTGATTTCTCTAAGCTAGCATTGCTATCAACTCTCTGCCAAAAGACCCGCCCTCCTCTGACTCTGATTGGCCCTGAACCTGATGTTATTAAACAAACCAATCAAACCAACAATGGCAGCGAGTATTACCCAATCAAGGGTAGAATAGGACGAGTCTTCACAGAATGCGGGTGTTATGATTTGCATGTGATGATGCATTTAAGACAACTCGGAAATACGGGACAAACCGCGTCCCGTATTGATTCAAAGCGGGACGCGCTGTTTATTTCACAAATACGGGACGATTCCGTATTTTAAGGGACGGGTGGCAACCCTTCGCTGACTTTAGCTATCTTCTTTGCACGAAGAACAACACAGTGACGAAACGCGTTTGTCCGTTTAGGGCCACTGTAGAAACATGTCAATGTTAGGGGAACGAGAAGTGTATGTAGATATAAATGGCTCATTCTAAGGTAATAAAAACATAACGGTTCATTAAGTAAGGTCATTATACACTCCGTGACTTTCTTACTTATGGGGAACATAAAAAAGGGGGATTTCCAAATATCTTTTGACTTTTCAAAATATCTCCTTTTTTTGTTCCACAAATTATTCATAAAATATCATATTTTGTGTTGTGAGTAAATGACCACAGAATTTCCATTTTAATTAAACTATATAACGTTATATATTTAACTACTGTACAAGCCCTCAGTAAGCTCATCATTATTGGAGATACTGTATGTTAATAACGTAATACCCAGCATTTTAAGCCCAAAAGTTGTGAATAATTTTAAAGCTCATTTAATGATGTACTAATTTTGCTTTTGTTTTTGTGTATATCCAGGCCACTCAAATATGGGACCCAGGCCACAAACCATGTTAGCTAAGATCCGGAACTTATTCGGCTACAGACCCAGCAGTGTAGACCACACACAAGAGGAGCTCCTGGGTTTGTCTCATAAAAGTGTTCATGTCTTAACCCTATCAGACTCATTTTGATATTAACCCTGTTTTTCCTCTCTTGTCATAATTGCTCAAATTTCAGTTTATTTTGAATCATTATAACTGGACACATATCTTATTGTCTGAGGAGGGGTGTATTTTTTAGTCCCACTCCCACAAAATTCAGTCCTGATCCCATCCACTTCTCCAAAAGTATGTTAGAATCCTCTCATACATGATGGATTAACCCTTTCTTGGCGTTACAAATAAAAGTAAGAACACAATTATAGCAAGGCAGAGCAAACTTATCATCTACAGTGGTTTTGATCACAACGCGACAGTCCTTCTAAGTCATCAGCACAACAGCGCACGTTATGAGAGAAGTGATCAGTCTCTTAAAGGGCCCACCGCACAATGATGTGATGCATGCACGGCGAGGAGGAATGTTTGAGTGGCCAAAGACTCTCCAAGGATCACAGATGGAGAATTGCAGAGATTAGTTGAGTCTTGGAGTCAGACAGCCTAAAAAAAATGATCAAACAACCCCGACATCCCCACATGTTGTTTGCGAGGGTTTTAAAAAAATATCCTCCTCACTCATCCAAAAATCAAACTCCAGCACATTCAGTTGTCAGACACGACTGGAACTTCAAAAGTGACCAGATTCTGTGGTCAGATGAAACTAAAAAAAGAGCTTTTTGGCAGCAATATACCCCATGTCTACGTTAAATATACTGCTGGATCTTTAATGTTGAGGGCCTATTTTTTTGCTGGAGGCCCTGGACATCTTGTTCAGACACATGGTACCATGGATTCTAGCAAATACCAACAGATAAAAAAATCTAAACCTAACAGCCTCTGCTGGAAATCTTATAATGGGCCGTGGTTGGATCTTCGATCAGGATAATGATCCAAAACAAACATCAAAATCATCACAAAAATGTGTCACTGAGCACAAAATGAAGCTTCTGTCATAACCATCCCAATCCCCTGTGATCCCTGTAGAAAATTAGTGGAGTGAACGGAAGAGAAGAAACAACAACATGGAGCTGGGAATCTGAAGGATCTGGAGAGATTCTGTATGGAGAAATAGTCTCTGATCTTTTGTCAGTTGTTCTCCAAGCTCATCAGGCATCATAGGAGAAAGAAAAGAGCTGTTATCTTGGCAAAAGGACGTTACATTCAATAAAAAGGTTTACTGGCAACAATAAAAGGTTGCCAATAATTATGGCCAACTTGTTTTGGAGAAAATCATTTACTTCATAATGTGATCCCCCCCCATTTTGTGTAGCAGTGTGGTTGTGAAGACCTTGATCCAAAGTTTAAAAAAATACAGCCTAATGATTGTTTTCTTAGTTTTACCAGTTGTGTGCATTTATATGTTTCACAGACGTGTATGTGTTTGCTGTCAGTGGAGAAGTTAACAAGAAAGATCTCACAAGCATTGCCTCTTCCAAGAAAGATGAGCTGCATTTTTTTATTTTGAAGGACTATAAACATCTGGGATCTGTGTTCAACCGAATGATCAGTAAGTGATCAGATATCAGAGAACCTCTACGTCCCCCAGTTGAAATCGTTGTCCAGAGACTCTGAACAATTAATATGTCTATTTTCAGTTTCAATCGGAATATCTTTTCTCCGGATATATTGTTTCAAAGCAGCTTTACTGATAATAGTGCCTTACTGTACAAATCAGGTGATTCTGCTGTGACTAAGTGTGGAGTGGCACAAGAGCAAGAGGACCAAGACGAGCGAGAGAAGCCCGAAACCACTTACACCAGACCTTGGCATGTCAATGTTCTCTGGGTTGGTAAATTCATATCAAGAGTTTAACAATTTAATAAAACTTGAGACAAAGACTTCTATAAAAGCACTGCTTTCAGATGGAAGATCACATTTTACTTTGTTGTCATCCAGGGAGCTAAAACATGCAGAGGGACTCTAGTGACTAAGAGCATGGTATTGACAGCTGCACACTGCTTAATAAAGGTGAATTCAGATGAATCTGTATCAGTTGCCAGTGCTGCTGACATAACAGTTCACCATGGTAAGAATTGTTTCTTTTGTCAACAATGTTATGGAATAATTCAAGGTGACTCATGCTCCTCAGAAAGAATCTCTTATAAAGTCAGCTAAAAATCAAAGCCAAATCGAATAAAATCACTTGCAGTGTTGAATTAGACCAGGAACAGTAAATTGGGTCAACTTTGAATTTATGTTGATTTTATCCGGTCATGCACAGATGCTAAACTACATGTACTTTGCTTCAATTCTCTTACAAAGGTAATGGTGAAGTTAAAGCCATGGAATTGATTCTTCATCCACTGTTTAATGTGAAAGGCCTTAAGGACAAGAATGTAAATGAGTTTTATGATTACGACATTGCTCTGGTTAGGATGAGAGAAAACATTACGATATCTTTGAAGGCAAGGTAAGATTCAACAACCCTTTCCCTTGGGTATATATTTAGATGCTTGCAAACCTATTCTGGTGGGTTTTTTTTATCTTAAATGTGTGCTATAAATAAATAAATAAATAAATAGTGCTTATAAACTGCTGTTGAGATGGTATTCTCAGATGAAACGGAGTAAAGACTTGGACAAGAAACCGTATTCAATATGTCATGGCTTAACAAGCAGACTGGAGCCCTGGTGTTCTGTCTTGCCAATTAATGCATTACATATATAACTTTCTACACAGGCCCATTTGTTTACCTTGTACCAAATCATCAAACCGGGCTCTCAGAATGGATCCAGACTCTACGTGTGACGAGCACAGTGAGTATTTATAAAATTCAATTAATATACTGTTATGAAGATTTATAATAAATAACATCAAAGTTCAAAACATACTCGACCTCATAATCTTTAGCTAAAAGATAAAAATTTAATTCTATGATGAAATGATTGTTTGTGTGATTGACCAGAGAGATCCCTGATCCACCTGGAAGAGACTCCGGCTAACTTCATCAGACAGGGAACTCATCGATCAGACACCCACATACATAGTGGTGCAAAAGTGAGTGCTGTCCTTACAAAATTACAACACTTTAATATGTGTTGTGCCTTGATTAGATAATGCAGTGTATATGAGTCAGAAAACAACAGGGAGGAGGAGAGAGGGGGGATGACCTTGAGGCGGGACTCAAACTCAGGTCATCCGAGTTACAGCTGCCTTATACACTCACCGGCCACTTCATTAAGTTCACTTTGCTAGTACTGGGTTAGACATGTTTTTTCCTTCAGAACTTAATTCTTTGTTGCATAGATTCAATAAGATGCTGGAAATATTCCTCAGAGATTTTGGTCTATATTGACATGATCGCATCACACAGTTGCTGATTCGTCGGCTGCATATCCATGATGCGAATCTTCCGTTTCAGCACATGCCAAAAGGGCTCTTTTGGATTGAGATCTGGTGACTGTGGGGGCCATTCGAGTTTAGTGAACTCATTTTCGTGTTCAAGAAACCAGTTTCCCTCACACCACAACCTGAACCGTTGAAAAAAGGCAGGATGAATCTAGGTTGTACCTAGAGCATGGCGCAGAGCAGGTGGAGTCTTTATACCTAAAGAAAAAGATGCTACAAGCATCAGTCAGTTTCGTCCTATCTCGCTATTAAACGTTGAAGGTAAGATTTTCTTCAGCATTATTGCTCAGAGATTGTCCACCTACCTATTAAAGAATGGCTTCATTGACACTTCAGTTCAAAAAGCGGGCATTCCAGGCTTCTGAGGATGCTTAGAACTAGGGAAACTCACGATACAATGCACCTCGATATGCCAGGGTCACGATACGTCACGTTACGATATCAAAAAAGGAAAAAAAAAGAAAAAAAAATTACTGTATAACAACAACTTATTTATTTTTGTTTCAGCTGCACACAGGGAAAACACAAGGCCTAACTGCCCAAACACAAACAAGAACACTCCCTTAGTGCTGCTCTAATCCTAGGTTAAGTTATCTCAGGACTGGTTCTTCTTCAAAAAAACTAACATATCAACATGTTCTGGTGTAATCAGTGATCTTTGAGCATACACAATGTCTCCTGCTGTGGAAAAGACACGCTCACTGGGCACTGATGTAGCATACCGTAAAACTTCAAATAATAGCCGAGTCCCAAATAGACGCCTGTCTCTTTTACACGCCTGGTGTGGCTGCAGGTTTGGGTAAATAAAGGCCGGTCTCAAATAGAGGCCGGGTCTGTTTTTTAGTTTCGGGTTGTATTTAACCTTCTAAAACCCGTCAGATCGTCCGCTTTTTGGCGGCCGCCAAAGCAAATGTGTGTCCCGCCGAGTGATGTAGAATTGACTGCTGCGCTTGACAGGGCGCATAACGAGCAGAGAGAGAGAGAGAGAGCGCCCCGGCCGCGCGCGCGCACTCTCACGTCTTCAAACAAAACGAGCGCTGTCTTGCTCTCTCTCCCTCGTGCATATTAATCAAAATCAGTTGACACGATAGTAAAAGGTCGGAATACCGCAGTTTCACGTGGAGCATTTGGAGATTTTTAGAGATTAGAGACTCTAGGCCTACACTCAATGAACAATATCTCAACACTAAATTATAAAGGCCGGTCTCATATAGACGCCTGTCTCAAATACAAGCCGGTGCAGTTCGACGATTTGGGAAAATAAAAGCCCGGGCTATTATTTGAAGTTTTACGGTATATATATACATTTGACTCCATGGTCGGCTGTTTGGGGGCAAGGCAGTTGGTGCTAATGCTAATATTTGTTAGCTCGCTGTAGACTGCAGTGTTGTTGTTGGAACATGCGCTGTCTTGACGTGATGACGTACCGCACCGTTCCCCGGATATAATTTTTTTTTTTTTCATTTAGTTTTACCCTGCTTGATCAGCAGCTGGTGCTGCCAGCCTGCCACCATAGACTGTATGTCTGCCCCATATACATACACACACACATATAATACACTAAATTATTTATATACTACGCAAATCATGCAGCAGTGCCATCTATCTTTATTTCGCGATCCATTTTTTTCGGCCTCGATGCGTTTCGTCACGTTTTGTATCGCGATATTTTGTCAAACGATATTTCGTCCCATCCCTACTTAGAACACATCAATGTTATCTGGCGACGAATTCAATCAGCTAAAAAGGAGAGGAATGAGCTCCATGTGACATTCCTGGATTTGGCTAATGCATATGGTTTAGTGCCGCATGAGCTTCTTTGGGCAGCATTTGATTTTTTCAGAGTACCAATGTCAATAACAAATTTAGTGAAAGCCTATTTTGGAGATTTGCAATTTAGTTTCTCAACTCCAGAATTCAGCACTACATGGCAATGCTTAGAGGTTGGAATAATGGCAGGATGCACCATTTCTCCACTGGCTTTTACCATGGCAATGGAAGTAATCATTAGGGCATCGAGATGGGTAGTAGGAGTAGAGCGCTTGGCTTCTGGGTTGCGACTACCACCAATCAGAGCATACGTGGATGACATGACAACCATGACTACAACAGTAGCCTGCACTAATCGGTGATTGGGTAAGTTAACCGATAATATTGAATGGGCAAGAATGCAATTTAAGCCCTCTAAATCAAGGAGCGCGCATCTCGATAGTTAAAGGAAAGGTAGTAGATAAAACATTATTCATTAATGGTGAGGGAATACCAACAGTTTCTGAGAAGCCAGTGAAGAGTCTTGGGAGATGGTACGATGGGGATCTAAAGGACACAGTTCGGGTGGGAGAAGTTAGATGACAAGCAGTGGAAGGGTTGAAGAGCATAAACAGCTGTGCTCTACCAGGCAAACTAAAACTCTGGTGCTTTCAGTTTGGTCTACTGCCGAGGTTGCTGTGGCCACTGACTGTGTACGAGGTTTCTTTGACAACAGTGGATAAGTTGGAAGCGTTAATAAGTTCATACATCAGGAAATGGTTGGGAGTTCCACGCTGCCTCAGCAGAGTGGGACTTTATAGTAAAGGAATATTGCAGCTGCCAGTCTCTGCTTTAACCGAGGAGTTAAAGTGCGCCAAGGTCAGACTGGTAATGACCTTAGTAGAGTCACGCGACAAATGTTTAAGGGATGCAGCACCTGTGTTAAAAACTGGTAGGAAGTGGTCAGCAAAGAAATCGGTGGTAGAGGCAAAGGCTGCCCTTCAAATTGGTGATATCGTGGGACAGGTACAGCATGGAAGAGGGGGTTTTAAGGCTCAGTTTAGCTCTTCCTAAATGGCACAAGGCAGGCCCAGCTCAAAGGAGGAAGCTGGTAGTCAACGAGGTGCGAAAGCAGGAGGAGAGGATGAGGTGTATAAAGGCCATTTCTCAGGCCAAGCAGGGAGATGGGAGATGGGAGAGTGTGGAAAAACGCAAGATGGGCTGGCAAGACCTTTGGTCAATGGAAGAGAGTAGGATCAGTTTCCATATCAGGTCAACATATGATGTTCTCTCATCACCACAGAACCTAAACCTCTGGGTAGGAGAGGATCCCTCTTGTCCTTCGTGTTCATCACCTGCCACATTAAGGCACATTTTGACAGGATGTAAGGTGGCTCTTAGCCAGGGTCCGTTTACTTGGTGCCATGACCAAGTACTGCGATGTTTGGCTTTAGCATTGGAAGGCAAGCGCAACATGACCAATAAGTTGCCGCCTGTTCTAGCAAAACATTGCACACAATATTCCTCCGCCCAGGCGAGCAACCACCAAGAAAAGATGTTAAAACCAATTCTCGCCCAGGACAACTGGAAGCTGCTAGGGACTGGAAAATGCTGGCTGATCTTGATCAACGGTTTATTTTTCCACCTGAGATTGCCACCACTAACCTCCGACCAGATATTGTTTTGTGGTCTGGATCAGCACGCATTGTTCTACTGATAGAGTTAACAGTGCCATGGGAGGATGCTGTAGATGAGGCATATGAGAGGAAGAAACTGCGGTATGCTCATCTGGCCACTGAAGCAGAACAGCGAGGATGGAGAGTCCAGGTTTATCCAGTGGAAGTGGGTTGTCGAGGATTTGTGGCACACTCAACAACCCGGTTCCTCAGAGACGTCGGATTCAGTGGCCAAGAGTTGCGTCGAACAGTAAAGAACTTATCTGAAGCAGCAGAGAGGAGCAGCAACTGGCTGTGGTTGAGACGGAAAGATTCTGGCTGGCTGTGTACAGGCCGCCACGCTAAGGTTTCGTAGAATTCTTGAAAAACTCGAAGAGTCTGTTGGTTTATTTGTTACCGTTGCCACTAAAACTGCATTAACGCACCAGTGGGGCTCGACAGCCTTAGTCAAACGGGTTGGCGCGTATGGTTGGGTTGCGGAGAGATTGTGAGATTGCGGCTAGGTCACACGTGAACTACGAGGAAGGAGTACCTCAGCAGCAGGAGGGATGTAAATGTCATTAAGCTGGGCTGAGTTGAGTGGGGGACGGAGGGGGGTGACTCGGTTAATTTTGATCTTACATATAAGTGTTGTACATCATTAGATCCTGTTAAGTTTCTATTTTTTTTGTGGATACTCACAATAAAAACAAAGTGTTGTGCTTTTCACCAAATAAAGAAAAACAAACATGATGCGAGTTCTGCGTTCTCTCTGTCAGTGAAGTCCATTCTGAAACGCGTCCTAAGATTAACTGTAACTTCGCGATTACTTGTCACACAGGCACGAGAGGTTTTTCTTTATGAAGCTTAAATTCTCTTCTTTTAAATGAAGTAATTTATATAAAAAACAAATATTCTCAGTTTATGCAATCTGTATGAAAAGAGAGTGCTGTCAGTATTTTTTTCCCCAGCTCATTACACTTCATTACGCGTTAATCTGACACGCCCACGGAGGACGTGCGCTATTCAAACGCAAATGTCGAGGCAAGCCATGCCCACATCAGCCGTTCCACCGCGGCGGTAAAATGTGTGGTGTATTTGCTGCCTTTTACCGCTAAGAGGCGCTACAATCATAGACTCTGAAAAGTGTTCGTTTATTCCGGTTTATTCTCTCTAATGCGTAATCTGCTGCCGCACCGCGCTGATTCAGAGCGATTGAAAGCTGGTAGCAGAAGAATTCAACAA